TTGACCCACAATCAACAACCATGGATTCAGCAGTCAAGAAATCAGATGCTGTCTTGCACTGGGTAAATCTATTGCAAGGGAACTCTTTAAACATTAAAGAGAAAAGATGTTACTTTGAAGACTAAGGTATGCCTAACTCACTCTATGGTACTTTCATGCCTCATGTGCATGTATAAATTGGATAATGAATAAGGAAGATCAAAGAAGAGTCTTCAAAGATGTCTTTGAAATGTGGTGTCAATAAAGAACACTGATAATACCATGAAGTTCCTGAAGAAGGAATAAATCTGTCCTGGATGAAGTGCACCCAGAGTGCTGCTTAAAAGTGAGTTTGCCCAGAGTTCATTACACCTACTTTGGTCATATTGTCAGAAAGGACGTTCCCTTCTGGTGTAAGGATATTATGCTTATAGTAGAGGTTCAGCATAATAGGGGAAGATTCTCAACGGTTTGGAATGACACAGTGGCTGCAATGATGGGCTCAAACACATCAAGGATTGTAAGGATGACGCAGGACCGTTTTTCCTTTGTTGTAGGCAAGGTTGCTCACAAGCTGGACGTGACTCAATGTCAACTAACACAACAGTATAAAATTCTTTTTTTTCCTGTTATAACTTCCTATCCTTGTATTTACAGAATAATTGTGTGTTAATATCTTATTGCTTGTATTAAAATCTCAATGACTCAATGTCTGACTCACAGTAGTTAGAGTTATAAGATGTTATAATTCAGATGTGAAATAGAAATATGTTTTTAAACAATTAGAAATTTTAACATATGTTAAACATTGCTTTTGTATTATTTAATTATATACTTGTTTATAAGATTTTGAGAGAATTAAGCAGGTTGTTCTCCCGGAAGCAGGAAACTGGGTATCAGGGAATTTATTTTATTAACCAATGACACATAGCTAATTAGCATTAGAGCTAGGACTATGTTCTGTATTGTTAGGTTTATTTTCAATCCTATACCAAACAGTTTTCCACCAATTTTCCAGAAGCCAAACTGATTCATTTAATCATTTTCATTAAGTAGCTCATTGTTCCAGAACCGTTCTTTGTTATCACAGGAAAGAAAATAAAATTGTTTTGTTTTTCTGTCCCAGTAGACAGCATACCTTCTCCTTAGTGCATCCTCTGTGGAGTTCAAGAGGAACTCAAGAGGCTGGTTAAGGATCCAAATATAATCATAGTGTACTTTCATCGAGTGACCAGTTCAGTTCCACAGGTAAGATGAAAAATTTTTCATCCCTTATGAAGTGTTTTATAAGCTTGAACCTTAACTCTGCAACTTCAGAATATACCTTGATATTTAAATTTGAATTTGGTGATTGTAGTTAATTAATACTTGGATTAAAAAATTCAATGTTTCCTGAGAACATAGCAAAGAAACTAGAAAGGATTACCCACATAATTAGGAGAGTAGATTTGTAAATTAGAAATTTGCTTTAATTTACTTGCTGGATGGGAATCAGAACAGGGGATGCCAAATTGAGTGGCTACATTTAAAAATCAGAGATATTAATAAACAGAGAAAACGAGCTTTCAAGTAGCATTTGGTCATATGCAAATTTGGATCATAATTATTTTCTCATGGAGGTAGAAAAATTATTCTTAAACTTATTTTTCTCTAGAAACATATATATCTGTGTGTGTGTGTCTGTGTGTGTGTGTATATATATATATGTCTGTATATATATATACAGACACACAGACACACATATACATATACATAAACTCCAAAAAAAACCAAACTCACTGCTGTCAAATTGATTCCGACTCATAGTGCCCCTTCCTTGGGTTTCTGAGGCTGTGCCTTTACGGAAGTAGATTGCCCAATCTTCCTTTTGAGGAGTGGCTGGTAGGTTTGAATCTCCAGCCTTTTGGATAGCAGTCAAATACCTTAAGCACTACACCGCCAGAGCACACACATGTATATAGATGAAATTTTCTGTTGTATATGATCTAGATGACTTTAAAGAGTAATTCAAGTAGGTAACGTTGTAATTTTGTGTTATTTCTTGGGGATGATGATACAAGACGTAAGATACGACATAGTGGGGTTAGAAAAGTGGAAATATCTTAGACTGTAGAATCAGAGAAATGTTGGGTGAATATTTGCTCTGGTAGTAACCATCAGTGTGACCTTGGCAAAATTTTATATCTAGCTTGTCCTCTGTTCTCTTTCTGATATATGAATACTAAATTATTTAGTTTTCAGTGTTCTATATGATTTATATACAGTAATGAACACAAAATTCCTAGCCCATAGAATCCACTTAATACTATGTGGTGGCCATTAGCATCATAGCTTTCATTCTTCTCGAGCCAAGTGTTTGTAGGACTATTCTCATGGACTTCTGTTACTTTATGTTTTCTAACTATGTAACTGTATAAGAATTGGGGAATTAATTTTATCTTAGTCTTACTGATGAAACAGTGTTTTGTTAAAAATAAAATAAAATACAAAAGTTAGTACCTGTATTTTTGTGCTCCTAGCCTCTACAGCCTCTTAAAGTGAAATCACTAATAATAAACACATGCAACCATTTGCCAGTGAGTTGATCTGCCTCAGTGATCCCATATGTGTCAGAGTGAAACTGTGTTCCTCAGGATTTTCAACCTCTGATTTTTCAGAAGTGTATCAATAGGTCTTTCTTCTGACATGCTCTGAGTGGATTTTAATCTTCAACTTTTCAGTTAGCAACTAGATGTCTTAACCATTCATACCATCCATGGGCTCTGCCACTAAAAATAAACATTTCTAATTTCTGTACAAATTTCTTAACAGAAATGCCTGTGCGAAGAAGCTTGGATAAAGTAGTTAAACCCCATAATTTTTCCTTTCCTTTATCAAGTCTCCAAATCCCTATAGTGAAATAGATAACTGCTCTAATGATGCTTGATTTGCCATAAATTATACCTTCCTTCATAAATCACATTCTTGCTCTATACACAAGATCAGCCCATCAAGGGTGCCTGCAAATTTCATCATCAAGTGTATCAGGAAAATTTAAGCACAGCACCCTAGTGTTTTACTGACAGGTCCAAGGTCATAATACAGTGACAGAGATGCATTAATATGACTCTTTAAATCATAGAATATTAGGGTTTATTGAATTTAAAAATACTGTTTTAACATAGGTTTAGGGTAAGGAAGAAACTTGTGTAACTAAAAGAAAAACGTTTTAACTTTTGGTTTGGAGATTATTCGTTGCTTGATGTTTTGATGAGAAAAAATATTTTGAAATTCTCTATTTTGTTTTAGAGAAATAAAATGTGGAAATCATATTTAAGTAGTATACACTTTTCACATATACCCAGAAGTTAATTTAATATATGATGTTAATATGTTTCATAAATGAGCCCTCTGCAGGAATAGCATGGTCATGTTATTGAACAAATGATGTCTAAAAAATTATGTCTGTCTTATCTCTGTTCTTTGGTACAAGAAAGATGATTTTCCTTTTCCAAGCTTATATTGGCATGAGATGATTTTTTTTTTTTTTCTGAAATTCATTTGCATATTTTAAATTTTCTTTCACTGTGCTTCTTTCTACCTACCCAATTTCTATTTTGTCCTTGATTTTCTCCAGGAAATATTTTAGTTCATGGTCCATGGATTCTTGAAAGAGAGACAGATAGACAAAAGGTGGGAGGGAGAGAGAAAGAGAGAAAGAGAATGCAGGTATTTAAAACAGAAATATACTTTTTTTTTTTTTTGATGACCAAAGAATAAATGGGTATATCTTTATTGATTATTTTGTGACTTTATTAATAATTTTATGAATTAACATTAAAAAATTCAAAGAAAGTTAAAATAATTACAAGATATTTTTGTGTGTTTTCTGGAGAGTTTTATATAAACTGTATGAGTCACAAAGAAATACATACAGTCTTCAGTTATTGATATGATAAAATTTCAAAGAGCAGAACTTTACCTGAAGATCGGTGTTATGAGAAAATGAAGAATGATCACATTAGATCACAAAATAGAGGATGATCACATAATTACCTACCTACCAAATTATCCCATTACGTAACTGCCAAACCACTGAGAATCCTGGCGCAGCCAAGTTGATACATGATCTTGAGGATCACAGACAGCATTATTCCCACCTAGCACCTCTGCAGTTTTACGACCAGACATACGTTGTTAATGTGCAAAATATTTAGATAATAGATTTTTTTCATTTTTGTAGAAGTGAAAGGTTGGTGAATGAGATAGTAAGGACAGAATAAACGAAAGTGTCTTTTAAGACAACTTGAAAGGTAAATCTAACTTCATCTGTATTTTAGTCCTCTGAGAACATTTCAAAGTTAACTTTGTTTCAAAAAGTTTTTATCACTTAAATTTAAGAGTCTTGTGAGATACATGCTATTGCTCTGATTGCATACATGTGAACATTAAGAAAGGCCTTCACGCTACTGTAGACAATTTAAGATGTGTAGTGTGTACTTTCATGTGTAATATTTCTGAATTTGAAAATGCCTTTGCTCTTTTTTCTTTGTGAATTCTAAAATACCTTAATTTGAGAACAACATAAATGATCAGGTTTGTTTATTTACTTACTTATTTTTCACATGAAGTTTCAACCAATAAATGAATGAAAGCATTTCTTTCTTTTTATTCCTACAGGAAATTATATCCACATGGGTCCACTACTTGGTCACCGCCTGTCCCATAACTGAGTAGGATATTATTATGCCCTTTTAAGAGACAAACATGAAGCTGTGTTTAGCTGTACTCTGTTCCACAGAATATTGCCTTTACTGGTTGATATCTAGTTGATTCCAACTCAAGGTGATCTCATGTGTGTCAGAGTAGACCTATGCTCCATACAGATTTCAATGGCTGGTTTTAAGTAACACTCAGTCCTTTCTTCTGAGTTGGCTCTGGGTTGAATTGAAGAACCACCTTTTCAGTTAGTACCAAGCCCATTAACCATTTACACCACTAAGAGACTCCAATTGCACATAGGACCTAAAATACCAACTGAAATGTCAATGTTGTCATCAGAACTGGATCCATACAGGATTCAGTTGAAGAATGTCACCGAAGTCACCATGTTTATATTACTGGGTTTCACAGATGATTTTGAGCTTCAAGTCTATCTCTTTCTACTATTTCTTGCAATCTATATTTTTACTCTGGTAGGGAATCTGGGACTGGTTTTATTAGTAGTGATTGATTCCAGACTCCACAACCCAATGTACTATTTTCTGAGTGTATTATCTTTCTTAGATGCCTGCTATTCTTCAGCCATAACCCCAAAAATGTTGATAAATTTCCTGACAGAGCATAAAGTCATTTCATTCCTCGGATGTGCTACACAGATGCTGTTCTTTGTCACTTTGGGGACCACAGAATGCTTCCTCTTGGCAGCAATGGCATATGATCGCTATGTTGCAATCTACAACCCACTTCTCTATTCAGTTAATATGTCACCCAGAGTCTATGTGTCACTCATCACTGCTTCTTATGTTGGTGGTATTTTACATGGTATTTTACACACAACAGCAACCTTCAGCCTCTCCTTTTGTGCATCCAATGAAATCAGACATGTCTTTTGTGATATGCCTGCACTCCTTGCTCTCTCCTGTTCTGACACTCACATCAACCAGCTTCTACTCTTCTACGTTGTAGGTTCTGTTGAGGTAGTCACCATCCTGATTGTCCTGATCTCCTATGCTTTCATTGTGTTGGCCATTTTTAGGATGCGTTCTGCTGAAGGGAGGCGAAAAGTATTTTCCACTTGTGGTTCTCACTTAACAGGAGTGTCAATTTACCATGGAACAATCCTTTTCATGTATGTAAGGCCAAATTCTAGCTATTCTTTGGACCATGACATGATAGCATCTATATTTTACACTGTTGTTATTCCCATGCTGAACCCCATCATATACAGCTTGAGGAACAAGGATGTAAAAGAAGCAATGAAAAAATTGCTTGATAGAAATTGGTTCATAAATAAAGTATATTTTTAGCATTATAAAATGGAAAAAAAATGCTGAATGTCAGTCCATATTTCTATGATTTGAAACTAGAGAAACAAGTGTCTGGCTATTAGTTCACAGTGCCTTAATATCTTAGAATACTTCCAAATAAAGCATTACTCAACTTTTCATTGCAGAATTTTACAGCTGCAGATCAATTGTATCTTTTATAGACCGATACAATCATTTTAAAATAGAACCATATTAAACAGTCTTGATGCATGTATATGTGTGATTGCTGTTGTTGTTGTTATGTGCCGTCGAGTCAGCCCTGACTCATAGCGACCCCTCCTTGGGTTTCCGAGGCAGTATCACTACGAAAGTAGGATTGCCCAACCTTCCTTCCGAGGAGTGGCTGGTGGGTTTGAACCGCAACTGTGCTTACTATAATGATGCTGTAATCTATGACTTTACATATTCTCACATTGTTTATCACAAGGTTCAGCAAACATTTAGAAATTAATTTCCTTTTCTGACATTCCTTGGAAGGATCTCCCAAAGATTATCCTGATCTTCTCACATGCTCACATCCATCTAGGCCTTTGGATATGCTTTTTCCTCTACTTGGCTCAACATCATAAATTGTGTTTCCATCACTACAGTTTTGTTCGCCACTGTCCCAGTCACAGAGATTAGACTCATTCTGAAAATACCAAGATACCAGGTCATAATATTTATTGAGAGTATACGTAAGGCTCATTAGAATAAAACATGAAGAGAATAATATACAACTGGCTGCTGTTTGTCCTGAATCTTCAACAGTAGCCCATGATTAAGAAATCTTTCAATGGATAGATAGAGTTGAATGCTTACCTCTGCCTTCATTACCTAACTATGAGAACAACCCTAAATTTGTCATTATGTGTAAAACACGAGGATCAGTGGGTGTGACCTAGAGCACAGAAAAGATTCCCAATTTCATGGAAATCATCCCAATTTCTCCTGTTTATGCCAACTCATAATTTAATTGTTTGTTTCAATATTTGACTAAAATATTGACATTAAAAGAATATATATACATATATATGTGTGTGTGTGTGTGTGTGTGTTTCATGCAATAAAACTTACTTTTTTTCCTACAACTGGTTGTTATCATGTGATTATAACACAATAAATCCTACCAACCTGGCAATCAAAGGGATGCTTATTTAAGAGCCAATTCTTAAGCATGACTTTGAAATGTACACTAATAAAGTTCGTAGCATCAATTTCTAGTACCTTCTGATCAGTTATGCAAAGATAATTGATATCTTTATGTTGGAAAAAAGGAAATAGTTGACAGTGGAGTGTTGTTTAAATCTATACTTAAAATTCCTCTCAGCTCTAATTTTCAGAAATGTAATACAAACATTTTATCTTCAAATTACACAATTTGAAGCCACAGTGTGATAGTTGGTGCTGTGTGTCAACTTGGCTAAACCACAGGAATTGCTGTGAAATTAACCTGTAAGTAAAGTCTGCTAAACCATATTGTGAGAATAAACGGAGTTGAATCATTTGTTGTTTGCTCAAGTCAATATGAAAAAATAGTTTATTTAAGTCTCAAGTCAATAATCTTTCACTCTATATACTTTAGCTCAAACATCTTTCCCTTAATAAAGAATTATTTGACCTTCTCTGTCCCATGGGACTCTTTCTATATAATAACACAGTGGTTCATATTATAACAAATATGAAATAAAACAAATATCACTTGTTGCTTTGAATGTTTGATTACTATCTAGAAATATAAAGCGCTCTGGCGGTTCAGGGCCTAAGGCATTTGACTGTAATCAGAAGGTTGGTGGTTAACCCATCAGCTTCTCTGTGGAAGGAAGATGGGAAAATCTACTTCTGTAAAGATGTACAGCCTTGGAAACCCAATGAGGGTTGCTCCGAGTCAGAATCAACTCAATGGCAGTGGGTATCTAGATACATAAGGAGTTCTGATGGCTTTGTTTTTTAAAGCATTGGGCAAGCAACTAAAAGGTTGGCAGTTCCAACCAACCAGCTATTCTGTGGGAGAAAGATTAGGTGGTCTGACTCAACAAAGATTAAAAGGCTTGGAAACCCTATGGAACAGTTATACTCTGCCCTAAAGGATCACTATGAATCAGAAAGGAGTTCTGGTAGTGTAGTGCCTAAGGCACTTGACTGCTAACCAGAAAAAAAAAAAAGCCAACTTTAGTTTTATTGATTCTCTCTATTGCACAACACCTTCCATCTAGTTGTATAGATGTCAAACTTTCTATTAATGGTTAACTTTTACTCCCTGTATAAATAACTTCAAGGAGCCTGGGTGGTGCAAGCAGTTTGTGATTTGCTGTCAACCAAAAGATAACAGCTCAAACACATCCAGCTTCTCCATGGGATAAAGGCCTCTCTATCTGCTGCCAAGAAGATTACACTCAAGAAAACCATATGAAGGGAAGCTCCATTCCATGCCACACGGAGCTGCCATGAATCGTGAGCCGATTCAACATCAACAACAGCAATAACAACAAGGTACAACCATAAGTAACTGCCAGGTGTTCTTATTTTCCCTTCTGAAGGACACACTTTACCAATTCTTGCAGGCATGTTCTGGTGGTAACAAATTCCTTAGCTACTATTTATCAGACCCTGTCTTAATTTCACCCTAATTTTCAAATGAGAATGTACTGGATATAATATCCTTGGATGACAGTCTTTTTCTTTCAGTACCTTAAATATATCATCCCACTGCCTTTTTGTCTGTATGGTTCCTGGGGAGAAATCAGCATTTCATCTTATTAAAGATTCCTTGTATGGGATTCTTCACTGCTCTTATGCTGTGCTCAAAATTTTCTTTCTTTCCTTGGTATTCAAATTTGATTATAATGTTCCTCATTGTGGCCTTATTTATATATTTTTCTACTTGGAGTTTGTTTAGCATGTTACTTAAAGAAGTTCTTTTTTTCATCATATTGGGAAGTTTTCTGCCATTGTTTATTTACATTTTTTTTCTGACCCTTCCTCTCACTCTTCTCCTCTGAGACTTGTAATTTATGTAGTATTATTCCTGATGGCATCATACAGATTCCTTAGGCTGTGATTATTTTTCCTCATTTCTTTTTTGAATTTTGCTCCTCACAGTGAACAACGTCAATTGCTCAAACTCTGAGTTCACTGCTTCTCTCTTCTGCTCATTCAAATGTGTTTCTGAGCTACTTCAGACTCATGCAGCTTAGTATACTTTTTAGCTCCAGTATTCCTATTTGCTTTTTTTTTTTTTTTAATCCTTTTTATTCTTTTATGAAACTCTCATTTTGTTCTTGGATCATTTTCTTTTAGTACTTTTACCATGTCCTGTTTTAAGTCTTTGAGCTCACTAAAATGCTTTAATTTTTTTTTTTTTTTACCCTAGTGATTTCATTACATGTTTTTCTTGTAGGATTGTTTTTATCCCCTTATTCAGGTGTTTTGCATAAATTGGTTCTTTCCAGATTCTTCGTATATTTTGTAATTGTTGGTTGTAATTGGGACATTAAGATATTTTACTGTGGTAGATGGAGATTACATTCTTACCTTTACCTGAGGATTGAACTCCATTATTGTTATTATTATTTTAAATTATAGAAGATTGTGGTTCTGTGCTTCAACTCAAGACTCACCATCTGAGTACACTTGTTATTTTTCCTTTCCTTTTTGTTTGTCATTCAGGGGCTCTTACAGTCACCATTTCACATGTACTTTCTCAGAGTCAGAGTCTGTTTTAGGACCAAACTCTATGGTCTGTAATGTTTGTTGGGGTTTTTCCCTCTCAAGGTATTGGGATGGAGATTGTATTACTCTAGTACCAGAACCCACTTACCACCAGGATTGTTGGCTAAGCTGTTCCAGCTCCAGCCCTCCATCTTTGGAAATACTAGTGGCTTCTGCCAGTGCTTACCACAAATCACTCTCACCCCATCCTCTGTGCCTTCAGCCATGCATTAAATGCCCCACCCAGAAGCTGCAGCTGTAGCTGATTACTCTTCAAGAAATACTGGTAGTAGTACATCAGCCTCGGAGCTCCACTCAGGAAGTGGCATCTGTTGCCAATTTACCATTTATCTTCACTCTTCATGAACCATACCTTGCTCTGTGCTCTCCTCATTGCTTCTTGTGATGCAGGTGAACTCTAGCTATATATATATAGCGACCCCTCCTTGGGTTTCCGAGGTGGTATCACTACAGAAGCAGGATTGCCCAATCTTCCTTCTGAGGAGTGGCTGGTGGGTTTGAACCACCAGCCTTCTGGTTAGCAGTGAAGTGCCTTAGGCACTGTGCTACCAGAGCTCCTTTTCTGTATATTACCTTTTTTTGATTTTTTTTGATTCAGTGTTCCTTTTGTTTTCCAGTCCTTTGACTGATGTCTAGAGTTTTAAGATTATCACATTTTATCAACATATACTTGTTTTCTTCTATAATTGTTGTAGGAGTTCAATGTTTGTACATGTTTATATCACCATCCAACTCCAATTACTCTCTAAAGTTTTAAAATGGAAAGATGTCATGTAGAAGAGTAAGACTTGCCTGATGCAAACTATGGCCTTTTAAATCACCTCAGATAGGCAAGTATGGTATGTGTCAACTTGCCTGGGTCTGGGTAAGTGGCTGGGCAGCTGGTGGTAGTTACTCCACATGGTGAGACTGGCAATCAACTCCATAGTGGGATCTACCATGGGCAGCTGAGTGGCTGCTTTAGGGATGTGGTCTGCTTTCTGTGTATAAGAAGCAGCTTTGGGAATGATCTCTAGCTGATGGAATGCTTGAACCTTGCATGTAGCTGAGTCATTATTCAGCAGCCAACTCTGTTGTCTGCTGATCTTGGACCTAAATCAATGGACTGCCATGTGGTTTGGTAATATTGGGACTGTGTCTTTTTACTTGTTGACCTTGGGTAAAAGTTTACAGAACAAATTTACTTTGCATACAGCAATTCATTCACATTTTGACTCATGACATTGACTACAATTTACCACAATGCAACAGCTCCCCTCTCACTTCCT